CGCTAATGGCGGTTCTCCAGCACAACAAACAAAAGGTGAGGCCGGTGCTCGACTATCGAGAACTGAACGAGCACGACCCTTTACTGCCCGCGCGGACGTAAGCTAATAATGGCGACAAGCAGGATCAAATGTATCTGTGCTGGATCTTCGCAAGGCATACCTTCAAGTGCGTTGCAGAAGGGGCAACGGTATTGCCTGACCCGCATGGGGTTGGACTCAATGTGGCGCCATCGATTATGCAGATGATTGTTGACGCCATTCTAACGAAGGATGAGCGCATATCTGCATATATTGATGACGTGTACGTGAACGAGGGAGTTATCTGCGGCGCGCGTGAAGGAGCATCTCTACAACTTTGGCCTCCTCAGCAAAACAGTCTACAGGATGGTGCACTGCTTGGTTTGCAGGTCTGGGGAGTAACGTCCTGTATTGAAACGGGGAAACGAACTCCCAGACATGCCCTTGTTGTCACGCGGCGAAGCATATTTTCTTGTATTTTGACACCTTCCTGTAGGTGGCTGGCTGCGTGTTGCGGTGGCGTTTATCAAGCGGATCTGACGTCACCACTGGATGGGATGACGAAGTTCATCGCAAGGAAGACCCAGCGCGGGCAGATGGTGCGTTGAAAAGACCTCTGTGAAACGCAAGCTTCTTGCAACCGGCGTATCGAAGTTCACGATGGAGCCGTGGTATATTTATGGTTACGTCCAGAAAGGGACTCCCAGACATAAACCTAGCGGATCGATGCTGTCATCAAGGGGATCAACTTGGCGATCCTTCGACCACCCTTCTGTTCACTTTCCGCTTGCGTTTATAAGTGGATCTCTGATGTCCGGGAGGGCCAGGGTGCGGACTAAAGCCACCAGCGAGATGCTTATCCGACGACGGCTCGACACGATCGTGAATTTAGTGCAAGAGTACGCACTGACAATGGAGGTGTCCCTGGTCAAATCTAAACAAAGCAGATTGTTTAACGAGGGTGCCGCAAAGGTGGCTTGACGCCGCTAAGAAAGCCATTGAGCCCGTGCAACCAGCCTGCGCTGCGTCCGTGAGTCCCGTTCGATTTAATCAAAAAAGCAGTCCACCAACAAAGTGGGCACCCTGGAGTCAAGCGGACACTGTATTTCGCCAAGTTGGTTGACCCAGGAGTACAAAGACAGACGTCAGGAGAGTGGTCAGAAGCTGCGTGGCGTGCCAGTCTATGGACCCAGCACCCGTTCGCTGGAAGAAAGGGCAGCTGAGCGTGAGGAACCACTGGAGCCGGCTGGCGATAGATGTTACTCACCACAACGGCGAGCATTTCCTGACACTCATTGATTGTGGTCCATCCAGGTTTGCGATATGGCGACTGCTGCGTCGGCAAGATGCAGCCACTATCATCCGTCAGTTAAACAGCATCTTTCTTGAACGTGGCCCCCAACGGAGATTAACCGACAATGGCACCGCATTCACCAGCGAGCAGTTCGAGAAGTTTGCGGATGGCTGGGGAGTGCACTTACGGTTCCGGTGCGCCCACGTACCGAGTGGAAATGGAATCATCGAGCGGAAACCACAGGACCGTCAAGACCATCGCAGCCAGGACGGGCTGCACGGTGTCTGAGGCGGTCTACTTATACAACGTGACCCCGAAGGATGATGTCTCACCCTCTACGGCGCCAGCAGACACATTACATAGGTACCACGTTAGAGTGAAGGGCATAGAAACCAACCCACTGACGGAACTGAAAGTAACCGGAGAGGGCTGAAGAAAGGCGATGTCGTCTGGATTAAAAATCCGCACAGCAAGTGCACCACGAAATACGGAATCGGACGCGTCACTGAGGTGATCAGCCCACAGGCGGTACGGGTCGACGGTGTGCCCCGTCCGTTAAGGACCTGCGTCCGTCGACGCAGTTGCAACCACCGCTGGACGATGAGAGCGAATCGGAATCTGAGACCAGTGAGGCATCGCTCTGGTTCACGCCAGCCCCATCAGGCAGTGACTCGGATATCAATTCCAAGGGACGCGGTGTCTTTCGACCCTCAGACCTCAGACAGGATCACAAGCAACGATGAGGGCTCGCAGCGTCCCTCTTCGAAGAAGTACCCGGCGCAAGCGATCACCACCTCCCTGTCAACTCTGTGATCATGAGATCAGGGGGATATATATATAAAATATAACATATACCTCGCAAACGTTCTCGCATCTTCCTGGCCTGTGGGTTGAGAAAGAAAAAAAAAGATTCAAAATGGCGTCCGTGACTTTTAATATTCACGGTCTCGTGCAGTCAGTCGCAAAGTCGCGTTACACACATGCTAATGATATTTCTGGGCTCCATAAAAGCAGGTTTATTGGAGACATTGGCAGACCAACATTTCACCCGTTTGGTGTACATCGTTTTGCGTTGCAGACATTTTCAGACGGAAAGAGTTGCGTCCCTTACACTGTTTAAGTCGACTCATTTGCTACAATATATATATATATATATATATATATATATATATATATATGATAATGAAATGGATTAAATCTGACTTAATATATTTTCTGTTTATAGTTTATTTTGAAAATAGAATATATTTCAATGAATCCTTTTTTTCTTTTTATTAAACAGTATTAATTTACATTTACCTGCCAGAATGATCGAGAAATTTCGTAGTAACTATACGTTCTCCGAATACAGGTTCGATTCCTGTTGGAAAACGCATAGGTCCAAGTACTTCAGGTCCAAGTACAGCCGATGTCCACCAACTTTAAGTCTCGCCTTCGTCGCGGATCAGTTGATGTCACCGGGAGAATCCTCCACCCTGGGCGTTGACTTCAGTCTCGGAAGCCCTTCTCTCAGCGAGCTCGAGTCATCACCGTACTGGTTGTTGACACAGCTACAGCGCCCAGTCTACCTTACTTAGTTGACCATCGGATCTACAATCAATTAATCCGCCTTTAATAGGTCTTGTTTGTAATCCTACAGCATGTCACCCTCTTCACCAGAAAAGCCTAGTGAGGGAATTGGTTTAGTTGTCGATAGCCCGATGGGTTATATTGGCAATAGTATCACTCGTAGACTAACTTGATATAAAATTTCTGCATCCTACAATCTATAATTTTCTAATGAACAAAGTAAAAATATAAAATTATCTATTATAAAACATTAAAAAATATCTAACCTCATAATCAGGAACCTTGACCTGCTTTCTCGGTGAGAAGATGACTAACACTACACCTCTCTGACCAGAGCTCCATGCGGACACGTTTAAACCACCATGGAATCATACCAACTTCGATATGCAACACTCATCGAGAGAATGTGATACATACCGCCACTTGCAAAAAAAAAAAATTTAAACTGATTTCATTTTCTTTCGCCTTAACCCAGGAAGGAAGGAGTTTTTGGGGCGCCGATATTTATTGAGTTGTTTATTATTCTCCTCCATTTGTTACGGTTGTATGTCAGAGCCTGGATCTTCGCGAATGGTTTCTTGGTGTGCTCATCATGTGGTGTGTCTTGGGCGTTTTAACCTGGCGGAGCCCATCCCTATCCAGGTTAGACCACAGCCGATGTCTTCAACTAGGTAGCTTGCCTTGGTCGCAAACACTTGACCGTTGTAGCTCATCTGAGGAATCCTTCCGCCCTGGCTGGTGACCGGCGTCGAGGAGGTCCTACGCCCAGTGGAATCGTGTTTAAATCCTCCCCTAAGTGAGTTCAGCCAGCCAGCTGAAATGGTTTTCGGTGGCGACATGACATGGGGAACAGTGATGACCGGCCACCAGAAGTTGGGGCCTGCCTGACATTAAAGGCGCGACCTCTATTCATAGCCCCCTCCCTATTCCTATAGAATGATAGAAGCTCGTATTAACAAAAATCAAAGAAAACAAAAATTAACCTTTAATAGCATCAGTTATAAACACGGCCCAAACGTACTGGCCATATTTGGAAATTAAGAAATATTTTAAGAATTAAAAGATTAAAAATACTTTCAACAACTTTTATACTGTCTACAATAACATTTCTTTTTTTCTTTTTATATGCCATCTCCTTTCAGGACGGAGGCGATCATGGCTCGCCACCTCCCTCTGTCCCTTGAAACTCTTAACAAGTTCCTTCCTTCTGCTATCACCCCCAGACCACGTTCTATCATCCACCTGCTCAAAGCCCACCTGGAATGTCACGCGTTGCTGTCCCTTGTCTCTCTTGCCCTCTATTCGACCTGTGAGTATCAGATTCTCTAAGCCCTCCTTCCTTCTTTCTTTTTATGTGCCATGTCCTTTCAGGACGTAAACGATCATGGCTCTCTATCCCTTGCATCTTTCAACAAGTTCCTTCCCTCTGCTTCCTCCCTCAGACCACGTTCTGTCATCCACTTGCTTAAGTCTGCCAGGTATGTCACGCGTTGTTTTCTCTTGTCTCTATTTCCCTCTTTTTGACCCGTGAGTATTAGGTTCTCAAGGCCCTCCTTTCTCATTATGTGTCCTGGAAATTTCATCTGCCTCTTCCTGATGTAAAGCATGAGACTCCTCCTTGTCTGCATCCTCTCTAAGACCTCAAAATTGCTCACACGCTCGGTCAATGATATCCTTAACATCCTTCTGTAGAACCACATCTCCGTCGCCTCGAGTCTCTTCTTCATCTTTGAGGAAATCGTTTAATATTCGCTGTTGTAAAGGAGGAGAGATGTCATGTAACAGCTCGGTATTCTTTTCTTTGTTACCAAAGAAATCCTCCTGTTTCGCAATACTCTGCCTAATTTTTGGAATGTGGCCTTAGCCATCCCAATACGTCTACGGATCTCGATGACGCACTTTGTCAATAACATTTACCATTTATTATAGCAGTATAACAAAAATCAGTGAAAATAGCTAATAGGTTAACCGAAAGCGCTAGGGATTAATTAAGTATATGTTTTTAACAATTTTTATATTCATTTAAGTCCAGAAAAAGAAAATGGCTTGCCAGTCTCGTTCAACGAAACGAGTAAAAACCATTATACATAGAAGCATGCAAAGCCAGGCATTAACAGACGAGAAGAGAACGTGGGAAGCGCCTGATTTGTGCCGAGGAAAGTGGACAGATTGAAACAGGTATCTGGTGTCGCTATATTGGAGATAGTACCGAGGAACTGTTACGTCAGGTAAAAATGGAAAACGTAATTGATAGAAGTCGTGATTATGAAAACAACAAAGACGGGATTTGCTATGAAAAGAAAAGAAAAAAACAAATTCATTCAATTTTCGAAAGAAACACAATGCTGCCCAGAGACGAAAGGTGAACGTGGTTCCGAAAACGTTATTCGAAGAAGGAAACTAAGGAATTATTAATGGCAGCTTAGGATCAGGTATTGCGAAGAGAACTGGGTAGAAGTAAATGTTGCTCTGGTCATCACTTCGACGTTATGTTGAATGTGTGGGAAGAGAGATGAGACTATCAGTGATATTGTATCAAAATACAAGTGTATGACTTAAAATGAGTGTAAGAAGAAGAGTTGTGATGAAGCTGCCTCATTAATAATAATAATAATAATAATCCTTCATTTTATAAGTTAAGCACCGAGATCTGACCAATAATCTATCCCTGGATATTTTGGGTAAATTTAACTAAATAAATGACAGCAAAATGTCTTAAAAAGCTGATCAACTTTACTATTCATGCATTCTACACTGTGTAAACCTTTTTCAATAATTAGATGCTCGTGTGTCATGCCAATAAACTGGTACAATGGACCCAATGGTTTAAAATAGGGTTTGTTATTTTTTTTTGAATGGGAGTATCAAGCTTGATTCAAGATTACACAAACTTACAATTAGAATTTCAATGTTTTTAAAATACCAAAATAAATTTACTAAAAATTACGTCCTGGGTAGGATGATAAATTACATCCAACAGTAAGGCCTCTGAACAGAAGGTTTTGAAGAGCATGGAACCACCTCTTAATTGCTGGTATTCCCAGGTCCACCCCCTGACCCGGAGTGTCAGTACCTGTTAGAGTCCCAGCTATATATATATAGAGAGAGATTTGTCGGACATTTGAGTGATATTATTTTTAGTATATAATTGCGACATAATACCGCCCCCTCTCTCTCTCTCTCTCTCTCTCTCTCTATATATATATATATATATATATATATATATATATATAAAGGGTGTTCCAATAACTTGGATCGATTTTAAATGTGAATTAAGTGAATTAAGCGTCTTGTGATTCTTTCCTTTTCCTTTCAGATTTGGCGGACATTTGGGCGATATTATATTTCGACCATAATTGCCATGACTTAAATAACATGATCCAATAGAGAAATAAATAATTTTTCACCAATAACACTGATTCATTTATTGCTGATTTTGATCCGCCTTAATGAAACACCCTTATATATATATTCCGTCTTAATGAAACACCCTTTACAAACAGCAGTTATTTTGAATACAGTTTTACAAATATGCACACACGTAGAACTCTGTGTGCGAGTGAGATTTAATAGAAATCCCATTGTGATCACTATACAGGTCTTTCCTCTTTTTTTTTTACTTGCGTTTATCTGCAAATTAACCCATTAAACACCGAGACCTGACCAATACTCTATCCATAAATATTTTGTGCAAATTTCACTGCCTTTGTCTCAAAACAAATCAGCAATAAATGACAGCAAATGTCTAATACAAAGCTGATCATATAAACAACTTTATTGTACGCGCATTCTAGACTGTGTAATCCTTTTCAATAATTAGATGCCGGTGTGTCAATGCCAATAAACTGGTACAATGAACCCATTTTGTTAAAAATTGTTAGTTTTCTTTAAATGGGAATGTTAAGCTTGATTCAAGGCGCACAAACTACAATTTGAATTTAGATGTTTTTACAATATAAATTTACTAAAAATTAAATTTCCGGTACATGAAAACTTTATAAAGTAGACGACAGACTTTCACTTAATTAGAGAATTATTATGGAAGATTATACATTTGGTTGGTCTAACATGTAGCAAACATATCAGTAGTTGAAAATAACAGTCACAAAATATTATTGGATTTCTCAGTTCAGACAGATCATGTCATTGAAGAATGAAAACACAATGTGATTGTCATTGAAGAGCCGAATTATTGTTATAGATAATGATAATAGCAAGTGTCAAAGGATTGACTTTGCTGTTCCAGGCGACACAAGAGTGGAGTCCAAAGAAACTGAAAAGATAGAAAAATAGCAGGAATTGGCTAAGGAGTTGAAAAAGCTATGGGGAATGATTGTTGAAGAAATTCTTGTAGCAATGGGGTCACTTAGAACATCACCTAGAAAATTGGAAGAGCGCTTTGGGAAGATGGGTATTTGGATACCGAAATTGCAGATCTCGAGAAAATCGCCATCTTTTATTCTTTTAGAATTCTCCGAAAAATACTTGTTGCGAGGATTCTGGTTGACGACATACCTCAAGAACAGTATTTTTAATGATTATGTGTCATTATAGGAAGAAAATGAATAACTACCGACACCGAGGTTCGAGCGTGACACTCTGGACTTAGGAATATATGTGTTTCCACCAGGTGTATAAATAGCGGTGTCAGTCTACTGACTGCAGTGACTATTGAGTGATTATTGAGTGGAATAGATTAGATGAACTTTTGGAAGATGATGACTAAAAAACACGTGAACCCGCAGGAAAAAAAAAAAAAAAAAAAATAGAGAGAAAACACATAACAGTTGCACATCGTTTACAAGTTTTATAAAATCCAGAAACAAGGAAAATAGTTTCCACATAATCTTTTTAAACAAATTAGTCCCTGTTAAAAAAAGAAGTAAATAGACTTTTTACCAGAATCCAAACCTAGAAAATCATGGTTACATCCAAGACAGTATTTAGCTTATCAAATAAACAGAATCTACGAATGTCACTTGAGTCTATATGTGGTTTGCCATATAGGAAGAAAATGAGTAGCTGCCGACATCGAGATTCAGGCGTGACACTCTGGATATATGTTTTCCACCAGGTCTTTAAATATCGGTGTCAGGCTACTGACTGGCGTGATTATTAAGGGGCTACTGAGTAGAACTATCCAAACGAATTAGTGTGAATCATTGGGTGTCGATGATTTGGGTTTTGATTTAGGATTTAGCAAACGTTAAGACGAAACACGCTACTAACAAGGTATTCACTGAAATGGTTAATTATCTTTGGGTGACTTTTACTTCTATGTTCTTGTTAAGTTTTTATTTGTGGTTGTAATTAAATATTGTTTTATTTTAACATTGAAGTCTTCAGTTATACTTAATCATTAACGGCCACCGTATGTCACATAAGTATATCAATATACAACACCGACATAATAATAATAATAATAATAATAATAATAATAATAATTATAATTATAATAATATTGTTAATAATAAAAACAATAATAATAACGATAATAATAATGATAATTATAATAAGGGTGATAATTATAATAATAATAATAATAAAAATAATGATAATAATAATAATACATATATTGATAATGATAATAATAATGATAATAATAATGATAATAATAATGAAAATTATAATAAATTAATAATGATAATTTTAATGATAAGAATAATAATGATAATAATAAAATATTGATAATAATAATAATAACAATAAAAATAATAATAATAATGATAATTGTAATAATAATAATGATAAAATAATAATAATTTTAATAATAAACATAATAAAAATACTGATGATGATAATAATAATGATAATAATAAAAATAATAATTTTAATAATAATGATGATAATAATAATAATGATGATAATAATAATAATGATGATAATAATGATAATAAAATACTGATAATCATAATAATACTGATACTTACAGAACAGATTAAAGATAAGAACTACAGAGGAAAGCAATGCATAACCTGGTGGAGGGGGGTTTAGGACAGATAGCAAAAAGACAACATTTATTAAGTGCTACAAAGGACAGGAAATTATGGGAAGCTATAATCACCTACGTCCTGAAGGGACAAGGCACATACAAGAAGAAGAAGAAGAAGAAGAAGAAGAAGAAGAAGAATGAGCTTGAGTAAATGGATGGCTGAACAAGGTTTAGGACAGATAACAAAAAGACAACATTTATTAAGAGCTACAAAAAACAGGAAATTGTGGAGAACTCTGATTGCCAATGTCCTAAAGAAACACGGTACCTTTGGAAAAGAAAAATCAATTATATGCTAATAATAATAATAATAGATTCATAGCCAGGCTTTGAAAATCTGCACATAAAAGCGAAAATACTTTTGATACACTTCAATATCTATCTACCTATTTATCTTCAAAACGTGAGGAAAACGTTTCACATGGAAAAAGTAATTGAGGTGATTGCGAAAACTATCCGTTTTAGACGGACAAGAACCACGGACAGTTCGGCAAAGTTTAACATAGATACCTGAAAATCTCTTTCAAAAGAATGGCTTTTCTCTTCTCACCGCTATTACTGCAAATTCTGTCGGTAATTTTTATTCTTTTGAAAAGCTATGTTTAGAATTTCATTAAAACCCAAACATGGAACTGGAAATAAGCATCCTATCGATATGAATAATTTTATAAATACAAGTTTATAAAATTATCTGAAGCAACTACAATGCAATATTTGTCATTTACGATATTATAAAGAAATAATTATAAAAACATTGTTATTCATAAATTTAAAAAAATGATTCGTCCTGTGTATGACGATGAACAATATCCAAGTCCTGGGTAAGATGATAAACTACGTCCGGCAGCAAGGCCGTTGATCAGGACGTTTTGAGAAGCGTTGAACCACCTTTTAAGTGCTGGTGTTCCCAGTTCCAGCTGGATCCGGGGTGGTAGCACCTTGCAAGGTCGCAGCTATGGGCAAATATTGAACCCCCCACTAACTGGGGTCAAAATCATATGAAAGTGTAAAAATAGGTTATATTACCAGAAATACTTTGTAAAAAATATTACCAGCAATACGTTATTACCAAACAATACATTTTATAAAAGAAATATTACCAGTAATACATTATTACCAAACAATACGTTTTATAAAAGAAATATTACCAGCAAAACATTATTACCAAACAATACATTTTTATAAAAGATATATTACTAGCAATACATTATTACCAAACAATGCATTTTATAAAAGAAATATTACCAGCAGTACATTTTTACCAAACATTAATACATTTTATAAAAGATATATTACTAGCAAAACATTATTACCAAACAATACATTTTTATAAAAGATATATTACTAGCAATA